GAGAGAGAGAGAGAGAGAGAGAGAGAGAGAGAGAGAGAGAGAGAGAGAGAGAGAGAGAGAGAGAGAGAGAGAGAGAGAGAGAGAGAGAACGTGTGTCTGAGGAAGATATGCATACCCGAGGCAATCGTTCTATTGTTCACGGCAGGTTGGCTGGAATTTTTCAATATCGACACCACCGCCGAACGAGGAGGGGGAAATTGGAATGCGGGAGACGTCGAATCGATGCGATTTTTTCTTCTTCTTCATATTATATATTTGTAAAAGAAAAGCACCGTGGGAATGAATGGAATATCCCGGAAATCTTGAGAAATCTGATGCTGGCCGACGGTGGAATGCATTAAGAAGTTGTTTTGACGGCTCGTTTCTTTTTTTCTTTTTCTCTTTTACTTTCTACGCTTCGACCATTTTTCTCGATTATGCGTGTCATCTTTGCGCAGGCACTATCCTTCGGCACATCCGTTAAAATTGGAACGATGACCTGTTTTTCGTTAAGCCTCCCCGCTGACCTCCTGCCCTTTTTTTTTTCTCTTTCGACGGTTGCCCCAGCATTTAAAAAATAAAAAATAAAAAATAAAGAACGGCGACGGCCTTGATATATCATCATCATTGAACTGGCCGGCCCCACTTAATGCAGAACGATTTTACTGTGGTCATCTGACTGTAAGTGGATTCGAATTTGTGTTTGTATTTCAACAGTTCGTGAGTGTACCTTACCTATTGAGCTAGGCCCATTGGTTTTCCTGCCCTCTTTTTTTTTTTTTTTTTTTTCCCCCCTGCCCTTTCTCGTTGTTAGTCTCTGCAGTTTCTATTTATGGCGAACCACTCGAGCACTGAAGAAGAGGAGAAACTATTACGTTTCGCTGTGGAGCTCGGGTTTGAGGAGGTTGCTGCGAGAGAGTGTTTCAAGGACTTGGTGAAGACGTACGGTAAGCCAAGTTGAACTGTAAGATCATTATTACCAGCCTGCCTGACCGGAGCAAATGTCAGTCTGTCTGTCTTCCTGTGGTAAATGTCAGTCTGCCTTCCTGGAGTAAATGTCAGTCTGCCTGCCTGGAGGTAATGTCAGTCTGTATGCCTGCAGTAAATGTTAATCTGTCTGCCTGCCTGTGGTAAATGGCAGTCTGCCTGCTTGGAGGAGTAAATGTCAGTCTGGCTGTCTGTCTTCCTGTGGTAAATGTCAGTCTGCCTGCCTGCAGTAAATGTCAATCTGCCTTCCTGGAGGTAATGTCAGTCTGTCTTCCTGCAGTAAATGTCAGTGTGTCTGTCTGCATGGCTGGAGGAGTAAATGTCAGTCTGTCAGTCTTCCTGTGGTAAATGTCAGTCTGCCTGCCTGGAGTTAATGTCAGTCTGTCTGCCTGCACTAAATGTCAATCTGTCTGCCTGCCTGTGGTAAATGTCAGTCTGCCTGCCTGTGGTAAGTGTCAGTCTGCATGCCTGGACGAGTAAATGTCAATCTGTCTGCCTTCCTGTGGTAAATGTCAGTCTGCGTGTCTGGAGTAAATGTCAGTCTGCCTGCGTGGAGTTAATGTCAGTCTGTCTGCCTGCAGAAAAATGTCAATCTGTCTACCTGCCTGTGGTAAATGTCAGTCTGTCTGCCTGAAGTAAAGGTGGGTAACACGCATAGGTACAACGGTCAGTCTTTTGTGGCCATTTGTATCCACCTCTTCCCTGAGCTCCCCCTTTGCATTCCTCCCTCCCTTCCTCCCTCCCTCCCTGGCGAAGGGAAAAAGAAAGAAACGATTTTGCAACAGTCTATCTATCATATGCACTCCTGTAATCATTTTAATAGATATAATCTCACCGTCTATCCTGTGTAATTGTTTCTCTTCTTTTTCTAATAAATCAATTATGCAATTAAGGCTCCAATGGCCGAATCTACCTTGGTCGCAGGCACCGCCTGTCAGCTTAAGCTGGATGATGCTTCCAGACTGTTCCCGCGTGTAATGCTGAGGTTCCCCGGCCTCTGATCTTGTTGGAAATGGAAATTTGAATTTTGAGAAAAAGAAAAATCTACTTTGGTCGGGAGTGTCACCTGCCGGAAATCTCTCTGGTTCCAGTGCCCCATTCACCATACCCAGCAATTGAACATCCGTTCACAGTTGCAGTGGTAAAGGCATCTGCCTGTTATGGCTGAGATCACCCAGTTGAGATCACCGGTTCGATTCCGTGTCGTTAATAGACTGAAAAGCATTGACACACGGGGAGTGAGACAACCTCCCTCCGCCCAACAAGAAAACAAGGGGCCTCGCTCCACTACTGACCACATGCGCAAAAGACAAAAAAATATGCCTGTGTGTCTTCTTCCCATGTTCTGGCGGAAGATGCATTCTCATTTTGTTTATTTGGTGCGTAGTGGAACGAGGCCCAAGGACTCCCTGTAAATGTTGTAATATAGTCCTTATAGTGCGTGTGTACACACACACACACACACACACACACACACACACACACACACACACACACATAGTAGAAGTAGAAAAATAGTCTGTACGAGTTATAAATAGAATACATTAATTGTTTTTGTTGTGGTTTTACACCACCAATGTGTCCTCATACAAACATAAATGCATCCTCATTCTGTTTTTTTTGCTGTCATTTTGTATTTAACGTGAGAAAGCAGTATCTGCCGAAAATGGATCGCGGCTCAAGTGGTTCACCACAGCGACGAGATCAAACAAAATCAATCAAACGCCTCTCCAGGCACGCAGCAAGACATGCTGGACACAAAGTGCTATCATTTGCCATTGAAGGGTTTCTGCGGTCAGTCAATCTGCGCAGAGTGAATCGGTCCCTGGAACGTTCTGTAAGTTGAAGAAGGCTGTTCGTGAAAACAGCTGGAGATATCAGAAGTGAGAATGCTGACATGAGTAACAAAAAATCAGGTGAAAAACATGATTACCTCCGCTTTCAGTCAATCTAGGCAGAGTGAATCGGTCCCTGGTCTAGACGTAGATTCTTCGGAGTCGAGGGGACCAGTAAAGTTCTCTCTTACCACTGGGCTATTTGCTGGGAACCCCTATGAATCTTTTGGTCCTCAGAATTCTCACACTGAGGACAATCCAAGATTCGGGTCAAAAAAAAAAGAAAAGAAAAAAAGAAAAGAAAAAAAAAGATTCGGGTCAATCAGCAGGAAATCAAAGTTGTAATGAAATTGTCATGATGTTGAATATTTTGGAATAGTTCATTATAACGCGTAGGAACCTAAGAGGCCCAGCAACCATTCTATCTGTCGGGTTCAAGATATAAGAACTTTCTGAGTTGTCTGGCTCTGTCATCTATCCCGTCACTTTCCGATGATCCCATTTCTTCTCTCCTCTACTCTCGTCTCAGCTCTCCCTGTTCGGACTGTTCAGGGCCGCAGGCTGCCTTCCTACCTGCTATGATTCTACGTTCTTTGGAAGTTTGAATAAGACAAAAAAAAAAGTCCTTTTGTCATATCCGTGGAGATATAAATTGTATATATTATATAGTACTTATTGATATATATACTTTTTTTACATTTTTTCTAAAATAAAAAAACAAATAATAAAAATCTTTATCGATTTTCATTGTCTTTTGGGTGGGACTCTGTGTTTCTAGTGCATATGCTTAAGGTGTACTGCCTGCTCATTGTTTTGGGATTAATTTATGAATTATGTTTAGTAACTTTAGTATGATGTATGCGGTCGTCATGGTGCACCTCATTCACGTTCATTCATCCCAGTGTTGTGTCCCTTTGCTTCAATTCGCCCACGATTTGGCCATAGATTACCGTTGACGGATGCAAAAAAGTTCTTTGGGCTTGTTCTCAGCGCAGGTGAGGAAGGAGCAGGGTTCTTGACGTTGGAGAACTGTGGTGGCCATTTCATCCAGTTATTGGCGGATTCCTGCCACGTGGAGGAGGATTGGGACACTGCCGTTGATTTGGAGTGGGAGCTTAGTGAAGGAAATCAGCAACATGGCCAGGAAGGAGATGCAGGATGGAATGACTTGGAAGAGGAAGAGGGACCGACAAAAAAAGATTATTCCTCTTCCCCTACTGAACATGATCAGAACTGTGGAGAGCCATCCAATGAGGACGACGAGGGCAGTGATGATGCCGACTGGGTTGCTGAAGACTGCGATACAGAAGGTGACAATGAAGGGAGTCCCAAGCAAGGTAGGGGTGTTACCGACCGTACATGTTGGGTACCAGCAGATAGGAGTGGTGCCAAGCCCACAGCATGTGTGCCAGCAGGTAGAGGTGCTACCAAGCCTACAGGATGTGTGGCAGCAGGTACGGGTGGTACTCAGCGTACAGGCTATGTGCCAGCAGCAGGTGCTTCTTCTGCTGGTGGTGGGTCAACAAAGGGAAAAGAGAGAGGATCGGTTAACAAGCGGGGTCTCCGGTCGGTAGTTGCTGATGATGACCTTATTGTTATCGATGGTGGGAATGAGGCGCGGAAAAGGAGCAGAAACGACAATGATACATCAAAGCGTCACTTGGAGAGAGATAAGAGGGGCGGTTGCTCGCTGTCAGCAAATCAGGTGGGGTACGGGTATATAATTAATTCACTTCGCTTCCTGCTCAACCACACAAACTTGGGGAATCTTTTCACTCTCTGACACCAAGAGGAAAAGGAAAAGAGGAAACAAAAAGGGACAAAAGCATGATGGACAACGAAAACGTTCTGTATGTCTCTCTCTCTCTCTCTCTCTCTCTCTCTCTCTCTCTCTCTCTCTCTCTCTCTCTCTCGCTCTCGCTCTCCCCCCCCTTCTTTCCCTCCTCCTTCTTCACCTCTTTTACTGTTTTCAGCGTGATGGAAAATGAAGACGTTCTGTATGCCTCTCTCTCTCTCTCTCTCTCTCTCTCTGTGGCTCCTTTGCTGTTTTTTTCTGCTTTCCCTTCTCCTTCTTCACCTCGTTTACTGTTTTTCTCCGACTGCCTTACAAATGCACATCCTCGTTCATCACTATACATTCTGCTCTCCATCTGAGCTGCCTGCTGGCATGGTTTGTCTGGACTTTATCTTGGCAGGCTGTGTGTGATGCGACTGCTTGGGATGCTGGCAATGCACATGTCTGGGATGGTGTTCTGTGACCACATGGGCTGCTGATGTGCTATTGGGCAGCCACATGGACTGCTGATGTGGTGTCTCTGAACCCAACCACATTGGTCTTTTGCAGCCTATTGGCCAGCTGATGTGCTGTATCTGAACCCAACCACATTGGATATTTTCTTGGCAAGTGAGTGCTATTGGTGCTATCTGGGCTGCTGAGGTGGCTTGCTTGGGCTTGATCTTGGTCAACACGACCCTGTGCAGCCTCTTGGATTGCTGATGTGCCATACACCCTTTGAAACTGTGTGGCATATGTACATCCCACACGGGCCCAGTAGGACCCGTCAGGTAGGTAGGAAGGGGTAGGGACTTAGCTTCGGGCTGGCACATTAGTTTCGTGGCCGGAAGTAGGGCCTGTGTCGGTTCAGGCCAGAAAAAGGGCCGTTTTAGGCCCGCGCCAGGTTCGGCCTGGCCAGGCCCTGGTACCGGTACCGGTACAGGCCCTGGCCTCTTTTTTTCCCAGGCCACACTTGGACCGTCAGATTCAATCCAAGTGTACGGCCATATTGTTTCCCAGGCCATTCATTCTGGGCCTCACGTTTAGGCCAGTAGGACCTAGGAGAGGCCAGACCAGTAGTATTTATAGACTGGTCTGCCTTTCACTCGGTAGGTTTGTGTGAGTTAGTATTCAGCGTTGTGCTGCGTTAGTCTTCAGTGCTGGGCGCAGTAGCGGTAGGTTAGAGGTGGCGAGCGTGGAGGCTGTAGTGGAGACTGCAGTAGGAGAAAGGCGGAGGCCAGAAACTGGGACTTACCTGATGACTCACCTGGGGGCGCCATAGCTCCAGCTTCGTCTTCAGCACTCCAGCACCGACGTCAAGGCAATACCTTTACATGGTCAGTATCTGGTACCAGCAGAGAGAGAGGGAGAGAGATTCTTCTTCTTCTTCTCTCCTCCCGACCACCTCCATCCTCCATCGCTCAGTCTTCTACTTCCGTCTGGATACGCGCGTGCGCGCGCGCGCGCGCGCGCGAGAGAGAGAGAGAGAGAGAGAGAGAGAGAGAGAGAGA